AGATCGTGGAAGTCAACGTACACGAGGTATTAATAAAACATTACCTGAAAGAAGAGCACGAAACAGACCCATTGGTAATACGTGTAATATTTGGGAGCATCGTCTTCGTCGAAGTCGTTTGCTACGCCGGGATGGGCAACTTCTCTTCCAACCTTAAAAAAATTAAAAAAACAAACGTTATAATTATTGTAAGGCACGTAGGAAATAATAGGTTGTCAACATGTAATATCAAATTTGAAATTTGTATGATTGTTCTTAGGTATATATAACATTGGTGAAATTATAGAGGTAACGACACATACTCGCGCGAGAAAACTATTTGTACAGTGCCAGCAATTACTCTTACGTTAATTAAATAGAAAAAAATCAAGCAATGTAGACATATCCAATTAAATTCTCGTGTTACCAACAACAACTTGTGCGTTTTGTAGTTTTTCTTTTTTTATGGCAGTTGTAATATAAAGGACATTTACTACGTTAAAAGAAATAGGTAGCGTTCATACGTTAGAAATTGTTTTCTGAAGAGTACACAATTTCAAAAACTGACAAACTTAAACAAAAGCTTACTACTCAGTTACAAATACCGTCTGTCCTTATAATGTTTTATTAACAGCAGCCACTATTGCCTATGTTAAAATATTAAAATATTCCCGTGAATTTGGGTGCGAAATTTGGGCGGCTCGACAAAGAATGAATGTGCCTATTTTCGAATCCAATGTACCTCATTGTACCAAAATCCATTGTGCCTACCGTTCAATTCATAAAAATCACCAACAACGCCAAAAATATTTTGAATCAATCCTCAAACGATTAATGTACTTTCTTCAAGATGCAATCTACTTGTGAACTAGCAAAACTGAAAAATTCTAGATTTACTGAATTATTACATAAAAAAGTGAACATCCCAGCATCTTAAAGCAAGAACAAGGAATATGTATGCAAAAGTATAGGAACTACTGGAAAGACAAGAAACGAGAAAGTATGAAATCTTCCAAACAAATAGTTACCAAATCCCATTGTACACTATGGGATCTGTATCACTATAACTCTTCCTGTCATTGACAAATTACCTCCGGTTACGTAGCTATCAGTAAGCCTTGCACTAGTTTGACTTGATTCTATTTCGGCAGAAAGAGAAAATGGTAACTATATTCGTTGTCATGAGCTTCTTGCAATATTTTATTCTAATTGCGCAAGGAAAAATGAAGGTTACACAACCACTACTAGACTGGTGTTACTAGCAAAAAAGGGTAAGTACTGTAGTTTGCGTACGTTGTAACTCGGGTAGGGACGTTTCATACCCGGACACCACATACCCAGGACAACTCATACCCAGGACAACTCATACCCAGGACAACTCATGCCCAGGACAACTCATGCCCAGGACAACTCATACC